CGTCTTCTACTTCGGAGTCCCTTCCTCAGCCGCACTATTTGGTAGCGACTCCTTATTTAGCCTGTATCTTATAATTTACTGTGGTTACCATCCTTGGGAGGCTATTTTAAGATTTCTTACAGTGACTCAGAGAAATTATAGCTTGGGATTTGCTAGATGTGTTTGTGTATGTTATTTCATAGCTGTATACACTCACCTGTGTGTTTTTTTTTAACTGAATTTATTCATCTACCTTGAAGTAATGTTGTAACTATAAACCTGTAATTTTCTCTACTTTTAAGCTCTTCCTTCTGATAAGGTTATCTATTCGTATTGGGTTTAATTATAGCTCAAGGCATAACCATGTGTGTTATTCATCTGAGTGAGTGAGCCTGTCTGGCAACAAGAGGCTGTTGTTGCCAAAGCTTTATTGTCATCTGGGCTGAATATACTCTGTCTGTGCCTCATTGCCAGCCTCAGGAGAAGGAGGTGATGGGGGCAATGGGGGAGGAATGTTGTACTGTAGTCCCTTACACCACTGCTTCTCAATATATTCCAGCCCTTTGCAATGAACTAGGATAACTGTGATTTTATTTACTTCATCTTTTTTTAAACAAGAGAAATCAAACACTAGAAATAAAATTTAACTCTGCTTCATTTCCCATCTCTACATCTATTTCCTCCCATCTCCCCACTCCCCCTCATCCGTTGTTGTTCTCATAACCATTATCATGAATTTAGGTTTATCTTTCCAGATAATTTCTTAAAAGACTTGGACATAGATATGTATCCATAAATAATATAAAATATTCATACCATAGGACCTGTAAATTCATACAGTAGGATCTTATAAATTAAAGAGTAGGATCTGTTTTTAATTTATACAGTAGGATCACACTGTACATATGCAGCACGTTGCTTTTCTCACCATATTGGTAGATTTTGACATAATTTTTCTTAATGTAAGAATTTGGTACATATGTAATAACATATCTAACACATGGCAGATTAGAAAACCTGGTAATAAAACAGAAAGCACCTGAATCCACTGCACACACTGAGAAGTAAAACATACCCAGAACCATTGAAGCTCAGTATGCTGCTTCTCCAACCTCTGCTCCCACCCAGGAAACCACTCTTGTGAACTTTCTTCCTACTCATTTTCTTTTCTTACCTCATATTTATGTGTCCCTCAACAGTATATATCCTTGTTTGCTTGCTTTTAAGCTTTGCAGAAATAGTATCATACTGTATATATTCTTTTTAGTCTTAATTTTTTATTCAATATATTTTTAAGATTCATTCATGTTAATCTGTATATTTTCACTGCTGTATAGTATTCCTACCCATTTTTCTGTCAGTAGCCATTTGTGTTGTCTCCAATTTTACTATTATAAATACTGCTTCTATAAACATTCTCAATGTCTTCTGGTGGTACACACATGTAAAAGTTTCTCTGTAGTATATACCTGGGAGTATAATTGCTATGTTGTAAAATAGGTGTACAGTTGACCCTTGAACAACTCAGGGGTTAGAGGTACCAACCCCCCGTGCCATCAAAAATTCATGTATAACTTTTGACTTTCTCCAAAGTTAACTACTAATAATACCCTACTGTTGACAAGAAGTCTTACTCATAACATAAACATTTCAGTTAACACATATTTTGCATGTTATATGTATATATGCTGTATTCTTACAATAAAGTAAACTAGAAAAAAGAAAATATTAAGAAAGTCATAAGGAAGAGAAAATGCATTTACAGTATTGTACTGTGTTTATTGTTACCCTAAGTTTACATCATCTGTTTACAAGATGAAATGGCAGCTAACCACAACTGTAGACCTCAATCTATAGTGTATATCAAGTAGTTCAACTTTTCCTTGTAATGGCATGACTTTTCTCTGCTTGTTGGGAGCACTTCCAGAATCACTAGTGGCCCTTCGTATGGATCCCATGGTGTTATTTAAGATTTACGGTATTGCACAAACACAATGAAAAATAGGCGAGAACTGAGAGAGATCAGTTTTTACCGCAGTATGCAATTTGCTGGAGAGATGAACTGCTCATGCAGAGATGATTTTTGTCACATGGCATTTTAGGCATTTTAGGCAGCTATTGGCAATAGCTGAGTTCATTGCAATAGCAACAGGAGGTGGCTACAAAATTATTACAGTAGTACAATATGTACCACAGTTACTTTTATGCATTTTATTGTGATTTAATACTCTGTGTTTGCTTACATTTCTTTTAAATGCACATGGCATCATGTATCGTTTGTGTGGATAATTTTAACTTTTCCATAAGAGATTGGTATATATTTTCTGGTAGTAAATGAGAAAAACTAATACCTTTGTATATTTTGTGCACTCATGACATTCCTAACTTTCTTTTAATTTTTCAATATTTCTAGGCTAGTGCTTTGTCAGCAAGTTTTTTCAAATTGTCACAAATGTCAAATTTTTCTAGCGTATTTTCTTGAAATTTACTTCATCTAAGTTGACCCACGCAATGCAGACCTGTTGTTTAGGGGTCAACTGTATATTCAACTTAACTAGATGAGCCTATGTTCTTATCCAGAGTGATTACTCATACTCATCAGCAGTACATAGCAGTTCTAGTTTTTCCACATCCTCATCAACACATGGTTTTATCTGGCATTTATTTTTGCCTTTGCATTTTGTAAAATAATATTACTGAATTGTGATTTTCAGTTTCATTTCCCCGATTTTGATGATATTGAGCATTTTTCATATGATTATTGGCCATTTGTGTTTCCCTTTTTTTGGAAATATCTATGTATTTTTTAATAGAGTTAGTCTTTTTTTAGTTGATTCTTAGGAACTTGTATATTCTCAACACTAGCATTTGGTCACTTTTATATGATCCAAATATCTTTTCTCAGTTTGTGGCTTGCCTTGTCACTCTCTTCAGTCAAACTCTAAAATTTTGACTTTTGCATTTAAATATTTAATCCATCTGCAACAGAGTTTGTTTATTTACTGAGGGTAAAAAATTCAGTTTCTCTGTTTTTCAAATATAAAAACTTTTCCTAGTCCCATCAGTTGACATAAATCAGGTTTTCATATGTGTGTGGAAAAGTTTGAGGAATTTCTTTGAGCTTCCAAAAAAAAGTTGTAAATCAACTTGTCGAATTTTGGTTTTAAAAAGCAGTTGGACTTTTTAATTGGAATTGTGATTAATCAATTTGGGGAAATTGACATCTGATATCAGGTCTCCCTACCCATAAACTTGGTATCTCTCTCCATTTATTTAACTCTTATGAGTATTTTTCAGTGAGTTTTATATAATTTTCTCCATAAAGATCTTACACATCTTTTATGACTTTATTCATAGCTTCCTTACAAGACCTATTGCAACTCATTTAAAAATACATTTTCTAGGAGCCAGTTGTGGTCCAGTGATGCGTGCCTGTAAACCCAGCTACTTGAGAGGCTGAGACCCAAGAATGACTTGAGCCCAGGAGTCCAAGACTAGCCTGGGCAACATAGTGAGACCCTGTCTCAAAAAAAAATATTGCATTTTCTGGTGGTGTATTGAAATGAAGTTGATATTTGGATATTGAGCTTATATCTAGCAATTTCGCTAAACTCTTTTTATTAAGTTTAATACATTGTGTATATATACATATATATAGTATTTAGGTTCACAGGGAAAAAAGCCCATATATATATGTAGTATTTAGGTTCACAGGAAAAAAAGCCCATATATATATACTACAAATACTATTTTATTTCTTCTATCTCAATCCATATACCTTTTATTTTTCCTTCTGATTTTCATACTTTGATAAATATGATCTCTAGTACAGTACTGATTAGAAGTGGGGATAACAGCCATTCTTGTCTTACTCATCAATTTAAAGGGAGTGTTTTTAATATTTTACCATTGAATATAGTAGTTGATGTGAGGTTTTTGATAGATGTCTTTTATCAGGTTAAAGAAGTTTCCTTCTATTCCACTTTTGCTAAGTTTATGGAGTTTTTTAAATTACGAATGGCTGTTTGTGATAAAATGGCTGCTTAGTAATGAGTTTTTTGTAGATATAAACTCATTTCAAAATAAGAGGAAAAAGAAGCTGAATCCTTATTGGCAACAAAATCTTTCCCAAGCCTCTTAATAGGGTTGCCTACTTTGTTATAGGGTGTGAGGAGAATTTCTAGTATTCTGTTATTATTACATGTAGGTAATAGCTTGATGAAACAAAAAGAACACTGGAAAGCTAAATCCTAATCTCATTTTGCCCTTCTTTTCACCTGAGAGAACTAATACAATTCACTTGACTCATGTGGGCCATATTGTTTTCAGCAAAATTCTCTGAAACTCAGAGACACGTGTACTGCTAGTAGCCGTGTGGCTTCTTCATTTGCTTTGTTATTAATCCATCATCATCCAACATACTGACTTAGGAGGCACTAAGGACAAGGTACAACCCGTTCCTCAAGCACCTTCTAGAGGGGGTGGAAAGAAGCAGTAGTTACAAAACACAGTTATAAAACAAAATGATACATCTTACCTTCTACAGACCTTATTGCTCATGATGTGTGGGTCAAGAAGTCCTTTGGGTGGGAAGAAAGAAAGGAAGATTCAGATGAGATATGATATTTGAGCAGAGACTTTGGATGATGAACATTGAACCTCCTTTGTGTTCTCAGTTGTTAGCAAAGGGATCAGACTAGTCATTCCCCAGAGGCCCTTCTAACTTTGAAATTTTGTCTCTGACATCACAAATAATTTCATGCTTTTATTAAACATTTGTGTTCCTACCTCTGGCCTATGGTCCTTGGATTCTTGTTCCATAGGCTTAGGGTTGTGAATGACAAAAGAGGATCTTGGTGTTCTTTTATTAAGTAATAACAATATGAATCTTAACAGAGAGTTAACTGATTAACTTTTTGTGTTTTTATGGAATTGCTCAATTGGTTATCATAAATAGATTTTGTTAAATTCCAGCCTGTATATAATTTCTAAGCACATTTCATTTGTATGTCTTATTTCAGTGCTGGACCCAAAGGAGACAACATTTATGAATGGAGGTCAACTATATTGGGACCCCCAGGATCTGTCTATGAAGGAGGGGTGTTCTTTCTTGACATTACCTTTTCACCAGACTATCCGTTTAAACCCCCTAAGGTCAGTATGAATTTTCATTGGTTTTTAGCAATATGGATTATATTTCTAGATACATATACTTATTCTTAAATATACATTTCTAGGGATGCATGTCTATTCTGTTGTCACAGACAGCTTCCCAGGATTGATAGTGTATAAAATGAAACAGTGTAAAAAAATTGTAGGTTATTCCTCCACCCCAACTTTTTACTGATTTCATTGTTTTTTTCTCCTCCTTTTTCTCTTCATTATCTCCTTTCTTTGTTATACATTTTAATGTAATATAAAACACCATGTTTTATGGGTGAAAATGGGGGCATAAGATTGGGCCAGGGTTAGTACCAGAGCCCAGAGAATCAGACGTAGCCTGGAGCCAGAGCCCAAGCAAGCTAAGCGCAATAATCAGGCTAAAGGAGAAGGAAGCCTTGCCAAGGCAAAGTTTATAGCACGAGCTATGGAGGTTTGAGTTTTGGTGCCTCTAGAGTTCAGCTGCTCACATGTAGTACACATGGACTAGTATGGAAAGTATGACCCACAGAGACGTAAAAATCATGTTAAGAAAATTTAGTAAAGAAGTATTTATAATAGTTCATTAATGAAACTAATTAATGAAAAGTCATTTATGTTCATATCTGATGTGCAAGAGTGTAGTGAAATCAGAACATGAAAGAACTCTCACTTATTTAAGCCAAGATTATATACTTTAGAAAGTCTTTACATTCCTTTCTACTGCCTATAAGTCAGATGTTTTTAAATCATGTCATCTCTATTAGCATTTGTTCTCCACTATGGCAAAGGAAATGACCCTGAGGACACTATGTTTTGGCTACCAAGAAAGAATTCTCATCTGGCCCTGACTTAAGGTCACAATGCACAGGGATAGAAAACTTGTTTGCATTGTGTAGGTTGGAGTAAACAATATAAGAAAACAAGAATAAGACTAGACTTTCACGATGACTTTCTATAATTCCCCTCCCTCTTCTTTTTTGCCCTTGCTCTTCCTTTCTTCCTTTCCATTGATGCTTAGATAGTGTTACCAAAGCAAAAAGTAGTAACTATAATTATCCTCAATGAGGAAACCAAGGACAGAGGAACTAAGTAACTTGTCCAGCATTATGCATCAAGCAAATGGTGGTATAAGGATTTGAATCTGGAAAGCCTGGCTCCAAAGCCCATACTTCTTCCTACGTTACACAATACATTTTATTCAAGCTGTCAGGCTGGTGGCACTGGTGACCACCAAGAGCTTGCATTTGGCAGATTTTCAGTGACAAAGCCATAGTAAATCTAATACTTATCTTCTCCCTTTACTGGATGGGACCCTTATACCTTTCTTTTCTGCTTTAGACCAGCCCTTAAGTTACCTGGAGTATCTGTTGTACTACGAGGGATGTAAGGACCTTTCTTTCTCAGCCTCTACAGTAAAGGATGCACAGTGAGGAAGGGGGAAGAAAACTCAGACCAGGATATTGTGCTGCTTGTAAATCTGATGTGACCTGTTCCTTGAGATTAGCAGTTTCAGAAAATGTGTGGGCTTATCCAATTTCTGAATGACAGAAATGTGTGGTTAAACAAAGCTCGAATAAGCTGAAGGGGAGAGAGTCAATCGCATTCTTGACGTTCTTCACTGAGTCGAGCACTCTACTGGGCATCAGCTCTGCCAACTCATTTCTTCTCCAGAACGCTCCAGTAAGACTAGGGTGTTCCCCTGTCACAGAGAAGGAAACATAGATGAGACTTAGAGAGGTTTTCCAAGAATGTACAACCAGGAATCTACTGAAGTCTGACTCCAGGGGCTATGTACTTTCCACTGAATTATACACACTTGCCATGGAGAACTTGACTGGTAAAAATAGGGCATGGGAAGAATGCTTTATCTGTCCTCAAATGTTTCAGGGACTATGGTGTGGGTAGGCGTTGGACTTTATCCAGGATGGTTGGATGGGACAAAAATAGAAGCAGGAGGGTGTCAGTTACAGGGAAGTAGATTTCAATTTTTTCTGAGGGAAATCTGACCCACAGTTGGACAGTCAACTTGTGTGTGACTCTACTTCTGAGATACCACACTTCCCTTTACTAGGAGTGTTCAAGAAAAAACTGAGTTACTACCTGTCAAGAATCTTACCAGAAAATAATTGAATCCCTCCACGTAATGAGTTGGACCAGACAATCTCTAAGGAGAAAAAAAAATCAAACTTTGGTACCTAGAACCACAATTGAAATGCACATTTGATAGATACCTGTGGAAAGTTTTTAAAAGCAAATTATCACCTCCTAATATATCAGTTTTAGAAATCAGATTTTGTAGATAGGTGTGTTACTCGAGGGAGAAAAAACTTGGTGTGTAGTGAAGGCTATTAAGTAAAACAAACACTTTTATTAATAGTTTTGATGTAACATCTCCATGCCTTTCTAGTGTCCTGTTAGTTTAAATAGTACATGTTTCAAGTTGTCTTGGGTTTTTTTTCTCTGCTACTTGGTATTTTTCTCTCCTTTGCTCTTTTTTTTTTTTTTTCACGTTAGCCATGCATTTTGATTCCTGCAGCATTTCCCAATACTCTGAAGAATGAACCAGGGAAGCAGTAGTTGTCAGGGGAAATTACTTATAAGAGCAGAGGCTTATAAAAACATCGGATGGGCTAACTGATGGTTATTTGTGTGGATATACATACCATAAAATTAGTCCATAGCATGATTGGGTTCATGAGATTATTTTTTCCAAATTCTCATAAATAGAACCTTTTATGAGGACTTCTAAACACTGTAGAGCTCCAGTGTAGCTTTTAAAGGTCAGAGGAACGATTTGAGATGCCCCTTGTTGTTGCAGGAACTTTTTCACAGTAGGGCTTGGTCAGGTTGAACACCCTGTCTTCCACTGCCCAATTTTTAAAAATCAGAGATGAGCTCTTCTAGTAATTTCTTCCAGAATTTGCCAAATTCTAATAAGGCAAGCAAAACAATTACTACCTGAGTACATAACGTTCATTAAACTTAGTGTTCTAGTTTTAAATAGGTTGAGTACTAGTACTTTTCAAATGCTATATTTCAGTACAATTTTTAGGACATTGAATTTCTTATATGTTTATGCCTTTTACTTAACCTATAGCACAATTTTACTATTTCAAAGTAGGTAAGGCATTTTACATGGTATCTTTTCTTGTGTGACATTGTCCATTGCATCTGTTGTCAGGTCTTCAATTGAGTACTTAACCACCAATTATAATATTATTTCTCTGTGAAAATACCTGTTTAATAGAACTCCATCTAGGAATACTACATTATGGCCAAAAAGAAAAGTGTAATGAACTGCTAGTGTTCGAAGTATAAAAACTTTTTATGCCTATTTGTTTTTCAGTGTAGACATATGTTTTAATGTTTTAATTCAGATATCTGTTTTCAAGGTAGAAGTTGCTTTGTTTTTTTGTTTGTTTATTTTTTGAGAAACAGTTCACTCTTTTGCCCAGGCTGGAGTGAAGTGGCACGATCTCAGCTCACTGCAACTTCCACCCCCTGGATTCAAGCGATTTTCCTGCTTCAGCCTCCCGAGTAGCTGGGATTATGGCGCCTGCCACCACACTCGGCCTATTTTTTGTATTTTTAGTAGAGACAGGGTTTTGCCATGTTGGCCAGGCTGGTCTCGAACTCCTGACGACCTCAGGTGATCCAGCCACTTCAGCCTCCCAAAGTGCTAGGATTACAATCATGAGCCACCACGCCCGGCCAGAAGTTGCTTTGTGTTTTGTTGGGGATTAGCTTTTAGATTCATAGATAATTAGTTTTTAAATTTATAGGTAATTACTCATCAGCCAGGTGCAGTTGCTCACTCTGGTAATCCCAGCACTTTGGGAGGCTGAGACAGGAGAATCACTTGAGATCAGGAGTTCGAGACCAGCCTGGCCAACGTGGCAAAATCCCATCTCTACTAAAAATATAAAAATTATCTGGGCATGGTGACTCACACCTGTAGTTCCAGCTTCTCTGGAGGCCGAGGCATGAGAGGTACTGCCCACGAGGCAGAGGCTGCACTGAGCTGAGATCACGCCATTGCACTCCAGCCTGGGGGACAGAGCAAGACTCTGTCTCAAATAAATAAATAAATAAATAAATAAATAAATAAAATTACTCCTCAAAGTGCTCAAAATCTGTACTTTATTTTAAAAGTTTAATATGTAAGTATTTTAATGTTATTCATTTTGTAGCCTACATATTTGTTATAGAATTAAAAAACTATTGCAGATAAGCAAAAGGGAAAAAAATTACCTGTAATCTCCCCCAAACTGATTATTCATGCCATTTAGGTATATCTGTTTTAAGACTTTTGTTTCCTTCATTTGTATCATATACATATAAATATGTACACATACAGGCCTATACATATATATACACATAAACACACATACAGCTTTTTACAAAAATTGGGCCATACTCCCCATGGCTTCATGTTTACTTTTTTATCTAATGTTATATTTTCATCCAGTGCCACATATTATATACTTCCAGTAAACATTTAATTGTGTTACAGTTATATGGGCTACCTAGTATTCCGTTGTATAAATATACCAAAATTTAATCACTTTCATGTGGCTGGACATTTAGGTTCTTCTCATTGCTTCTGTTATAATCAGTGATGTGATGAACATTCTTAAAATTACATATTTTTTATACTTTTATGATTATTTTCTCAGGTTAAATTTGATGTAGAATTTCTAGGTAAAGAGTTTGCGCATATTTTAGAGTTTTTGGTAAAGATTGACAAATTGTGCTTCAGAAAAATTGTATCAGTTTACATTGTGACCATCAACATGACAGTGTAGAACTTTCCTACACTCCCCTCAGCTTTGAGTATTTTAGGTCTTTTTTACTGGCAGTAGATGAAAAGTGGTATCTTATGGTTACATGAATTTACATTTATTTGACTACCTGTGAAATGTATGACAGTTTTCATGTATACTGTTGTCCTATCTCGTTATTTCTTTTTGTGAATAATATAAAAAACATTTTATCTTAGAAGTCTTACAATA